AGATGCTCTGCCGGGGAAGGAGGGGCAATCTCCTCCTGTACCAGTCAGATCTGATTTGACGGTACACGCACACAAAAATAATAAAATAAAATAAAGTAAAAAAAAAGTAAAGGCCACTCTGTTTTTTTTCATGCTACTTTCTGTATTTTATCTTTAGCTTTGATTTGGAGAATTTGACTATGGTAATGTCTTGCTGTTTTTCTTTTGGGATCTAGTTTGTGTTAGTTTCTTTGGGGTTTGCTGAGCTTCTTGAATGTGGCTTTTCTCATCCTTTATAATACTCAGGTAGTTTTTTTCTAGTACGTATTCCACAATTTTCTCAGTACTTTCCATGGCCCCCTCATGTTCTGAAATTCCAGTTATATGTTTGTTGTTCCCTTTTGATGTTATTCCTTTGTTTTCTTCATTTTCTTTCCCTCTCCTTTCTGATTTTCCCTCTAGTGTGTTCCCTTTGAGGTTCTTGTCTTCCAGCTCACTGATTCTCCGTTCCATCTCTCTGTTCTGCTTTTTTGTCCCTTCAGGATGTTGAAACTTCTAACCATTTCTGTCTTGTAATTCAGGATTGCATTTTCATGTATTTTGTTATTTCCAGTACAATGTTGGCTGTACCCTCTCTACCTCTGGATGATTTTTCAAGTTCTTGTACTTCTTTATAGTTTCAATTTATCTTCCATCTTTGCAGTTCCTTCAGTTCATGTTCCTCTGTGTGGATATATTTCTTCTGGTTATCTGTCTCTGGGGTATTCACTTTATTTATGGCTTCCATTCTTCCATCATTTATACATTTTTCTATAGCTGTTCATATGTTGTTGCTGTTGTTATGTGTCATCGAGCTGCTTGCAACTCCTAGCAACTCTATGAACAACAACTCTGAACCCTGCCCTATCCTGAGCCAACCTATCATCTCTGACACACCTACCCCCATTACCCTCATCACTGAGTCAGTCCATCAAAACCGGGTCTTCCTCTCTTGCAGCATCCCTCCACTCTCCCAAGCATGATGTCCCTCTCCATGGACTGGTCCCTCCTTGCAACATGTCCAAAATATGTCAGATGAAGCTTCAGAATCCTTGCCTCCAAG